ATAGCAACTGACACAGTCCTTGTTGGCCAGGGCGACAACAGATCTGGTATGGATTTCTGTTTATTCCCTCTCATCATAATTGATGGTTGGTGGACACAGTTGGCCTGGTTTCAACTGAGACCTGTCTGGCTTGGGAGACCCTTCAGCCTAGCTCTCAACCTCACTGAAGCATGCAAGCCCCTCCAAAATAATAATAATTGTTGTTGTTGTTGTTAACTTAGCACTTAAATTAAAACACAATTATATTTTTACTTCCATGAAAACTGATATTCTGATTTTTCGCACCTCAAGCATCACAGTGTTATAGATTGGTTCTAGTTGTGGGCGTGCATACATGCAGATATATTAAAAATCCCACATAGAGCTCAGAGGAAGCTCCCAAATAATTTCATTTGAACGTAAGTCAGGGGTGATATCTTTACAGAACTACAGTGGTGCCTCGACTTATGAATATCCCTTCTTACGAGCATTTTGAGTTACAATCAGCTCCGGATGCAAAATTTTGCTTCTACTTGCGACCGGAGCTTCCACTTATAAACAGAAAAAGGCAGGGGGGAAAAGCGGGAAATTCAAACTGCTAACTGTAGCTGGTGACGAGGCTGCTTCTTTGTAGCTCTTTTGCCCCAGCAGTTAGAGAGTGTGCATCGGAGGAGACTTGGGACTGCTTCTCTTCTGTTTCCGAGAGCGTGTGTGTGGGTTTGCAGGGAGGCTTCGGGCTGCCTCATAAGGTAAGGTGCTGTTTTCTGCTTTTTAAAAACTATTCTGGGTGTTTTTGCAGTTTTGGGCTGGGAGGGGTTATGTTTCTGTGCTGTGATTGGTCTTGGGGGTTTGTTTTTTTGTTTTGTTTTCCCCCCATTTCCAATGGGTCTTGGGGGGGGTTGGTTGCTTTTGGAGTGTTTTTCCCATTTCCAATGGGTCTTGAGGGTTTGTTTGTTTTTTGGTCCCCCACCCTCATTTCCGATGGGTCTTGGGGGATTTGGTTGCTTTTGGAGTTTTTCCCCCATTTCTGATGGGTCCTGCATGGTTCCCTTGCATTTTTCCTTTGTTTTTTTTGCATTTCCGACCTGCCTCCTTTGTTCTCTGTGCATTTCCAACCTGCTCTGTTTGTTTTCTGTGCATTTCCAATAGGTCCTGCACGCTTGATTGCTTTTCTCCCCCCCCCCCCCCCGCGCGAGGGGTTAATTCCCTTTCCACAGAGTNNTTGCAGTGATTTTTTTTGGTGATTTTTTTCTTCAGCTGGAACGTATTAATTGCATTTCAATGAATTCCTATGGGAAATGGTGTTTCGACTTATGGCCATTTCGAGTTACATCCATCTTCTGGAATGGATTATGTTTGTAAATCAAGGCACCACTGTATTAAAAGAAATTAGAAAAAATGTGTTTAATCTGTACTAGTCTTCATTAGACTGGGCATCACTGGGCATTGATCTACCCCCAATGGTGCCCAGCATGATGAAGATCAGTACAGGTTAAAAACTAGCTTTCCTTCCATATTTTTAAGTAGTCTAATACAGGTATAACCCCCTTCTTGCCTCTGGGTTGTGTACAAGGACCACATGATTTATTTATTTTTCTTGTTATTAAATAATTTCATGTTAACAATAGTACAAGTTTGGTGGCACTGTATCATGTTGGCTGGAATGGGTAACCAAGGTTCCTTTTCACAAAGCAGTTGAGTAAAACAAGAAGGATGCTGGGCATAGGAAACATCAGCAGATGCAAATTCTTACCCCTTGAGAAAAGTAGAAAGCAGCAATTCCCAGAGGCCAGAAACAGCAAAGCATTGAGAAGATAGCTAAACCCAGGTGGTCTCGTGGGGGAAGCATCAGAAAATTATCTTCACTCTCACTGTCACTTGAAGAGTCACTCTGGAAAACAAACCAATTCAGGGAAGATAACCAATAGCACAGTAGGAGTCTCACTCAAAGAGCATCCAAGCGGGAGTAGCAATTCACTCTGTACCTGTTGGGCATTGCTGTAGTGACAATACATTTCCTCTAAAACATGGCAGACAAATTGCCTTCATCTTCATAGGGTAGGAAATCTCTCCACTGAGCTATCCTAATGTGATATCACTTAGAACCATCCACCACACATGCAGTGGGCAAAGTCACCCTCTGTCGTATAGGATGTATATTCACCAAGGAACAGTGGCTACTAGTATAAATAACCCATCCAAGAACTGGATGTCTGATGGCTATCTAGAATATGACACATCAGTCATCAACTTCTAACTTCTAGATTAAAACATCTGTTAGGAAGCAGAGCTGTTGCTTCACATGCTGTTTGAGAAAGATCTCCTTGGCTTCCATCCACAAGACATTTAATCTGGCATGGTCTGACAGGTATTTTATAGACTCTCGGCCTTCAGTAAGGCTATTTGGGATTAAGAATAGTTTCAGCAATCAATAAACCAGTTCTGCCATTCCATGTACTAACTACAGAATCTCAGCTTATCCTAAATGGTGATATTGACTTTTTGATAAATAACTAAAATGCAAATTTGGCAAATCCCCTTATACAGTGGTGCCTCGCTAGATGATGATAATCCATTCCACTGAAATTGCTGTTTAGCAAAATCATTGTCCAACGAAAAGCATTTCCCTATTGCAATGCATTGAAGCCTGTTTAATGCGTTCCAATGGGGAAGAATCGTTGTTTTCTAGCGAAGATCACCCATAGGAAAGCCGCTTTGCGAACCGCCGATCAGCTGTTTAAATAGTTGTCTTGTGAAGCTTAGGTCCCGAAAACACCTGGTTTGTGAGCGCGGAGGGGGCTGTCAAAATCGTTGTCTAGTGAAAATTGGTTTGCGAAGCAGGGACCAAACATTGTCCACCGAAATTCCCCCATAAGGAATCACTGTTTTGTGAATCGCTATAGCAATCTCAAAAAGTCAATGTCTAGCGAAAAAACTGTCATGCAGGGTAACTGTCTAGCGAGGCACTACTGTAAATCGTAACAATCAGGAGATAAAGAGAAATGCAGCAATGCACAGGTAAGCAAACGAGAGCTTAACAGACATTTTAGAGAAGCTGAAGGATACCCTTGTTTTCGAAGAGCCTCTTGATCTCAAATGGACTTTTACACAGTAAAAATTCTAAGAACTTGAGTCAGAAGATTAGCATCTCATGCATTTAAAATCTTTATAAAAGTTAACAGTGTTTTTTTTAAAAAACAACAACAACAGTTTTTGTACTGTACTGGAGATGTTTTTATAGCTCACCCACATATATATTCGCCTGGAAGAAAGTTCCATTCAAAGTTAAGTGTGTTCAGGGGTGTTCTATGTTGTTAAAGTAACTCAGTGTGAAATAGAAACCCAGAAAGCTTCAATGTACTAATAATAGCAATGATGATGGTGGTGATAGTGATGATAGTAATAATAGTAATGGTGTTAAGAACCCTATTCATGGTTGTCAGCTCCAGTATCTGAAGAGAAGCAATTGCCATCCCACAGATATTTTTCTTCTCCTATTGAAAGCTGCTTCTCCTCCATTGTCTAAATATAATATTTCTAGGACATCTATCATCACCATGGCATTTAAGTAGCATTTTCACCCTCCTACTCTTCTTCTCATTAAATATTTTATAGTCTTTCTTCTCCACTCTTATTTGACCTTCTTTCAAGTGGCACTTTCACATATGTATTCTTTCCTTCTTAGCAGTTTCAAACTTAGGGAAAACAATTGCTTTGCAGTGTTTCTATAATAAACCATATCCTTTCTGGACACCTGGATATGGCAAAATTCTAACAACTTAAGCATTGAATAGAAGCTGATTCTCATGCTTTTCTCAAGCAAAATTCTCAGCTCACTGACTAGGAATTAGGGCTTTGCTGAGAAAATACTTTTCTTGAATCTCTGTGAAATGGAACAATTTTTCATCTTCAGCAATATATTTCACTGGCATAATGTTCTAAGCAAGTTTAGAACTTCACCTCATTTTAATTACTTGCCTCTCTCAACTATTTCCACTCATGTTATTTCCAATAAATTGTATTTTGAGCCCCAATACCTTAGAAATAAGAGAATATACATATGAGCTGGCACAGTGACAAGCAACACATAAACAAGTTCCGTTTAATGTTAATGTTTGAACACTTTGTTCTTTTTATGCTTACACATCAAAAATATTTACTCAGAAGAATACAGTGACAAGCAACACATAAACAAGTTCTGTTTAACATTGTTAGAACACTTTGTTCTTTTTATGTTTACACATCAAAAATATTTACTCAGAAGAAAATTCCCTGGTCTGTCTTAAGTTCATAGGTTAAGGAATGTACCTCATACTCTTGCAATTCTTCTTCCTCCACTTCATAGGACACAGTCTGGATTTTCATATCATTTTCCATCAAGGATCGCCCTTGTGTTTCCTGCCCATCAGAGGCCTCAGTAGGGGTATCTTTCTTTTCCATGAAAGTTGTCTCACAGCTCTCACCTTTATTGTCCTTGATCTTGACACTGGCCTCATCCTTCACCAGAATGAAATTTGGGCCGTACAGAGCTTCAACAGCCAACTGAAGAGAACTGGCGTCCAGTAACTGGTGAGTTCTCGCATTGCCAGAATTTTGGAAGATGTAGGAATAGAGTTTGCCCTGACAACGGTGGGCAGGGTAATCCTGGTGGTAAGTGTAACTGCCATGAAGGTGTCCATTGTTCTTGGCCAACAGGGGATTCTGAAGTTCACTCGCACTTTCCATTCTCCTGAGAACTCTCACTGAGATGCTTCAGATGAATGTCCTGAAGAACAAAAAAGGCAACAAGTACATATATATTGTAGATGGCAGCTGGGATGTTCAATAGCAATGATTGCCATGAGGTTATAACCAGGACTATGCTAGGGACAAGTCTGTCTTGACAGAAATCTGGGGCTGGACCCATCTTGGATACCTTCCTGGCTGCACTTTAACTTACAGAACATAAATTGTGACACTTTTAAGGAGAGTTAAAATAAGTATTTTGAAATTAGCTCCTGGTGGCCTGCATAAAGTGAAGTGCAAGTTGGGGGCTGGCAAGATGGCATACCCCTTTGGCTGTAAGGAATTGGGACAGGGAAGAAGTTGTACTAGCACATGTGACTCTTCCAAAGGAAAAAATCTACAAGCCACTTTGGCCTGTTTACTCGTATACTGGCTATGAAGCCAGGCCCTGGAAAAGAGCCTGATGTTGGGAAAGTGTGAAGGCAAGAAGAGAAGGGAACGGCAGAGGACGAGATGGTTGGACAGTGTCATCGAGGCTACCAACATGAATTTGACCAAACTCTGGGAGGTAGTGGAAGACAGGAGGGCCTGGCGTGCTCTGGTCCATGGGGTCACGAAGAGTCGGACATGTCTTATCAACTAAACAACAACAATAAAGCCAGGGACTGGAGATAAATGCTTAGACTAGATTCATAACACACTGGCTCTTGTATAAGTGCAAGTAATAAAAAGCATGGAGTCTCAGGAACCACAAATGTTTAATAGATTTTGAGCTTGTGCATTCCTGCCACATAAATTAGTTTCTTTCATTTTATATAAGATGTGCAACTCACTTCTGTATCCTCTTCTCCACTTCTTATTACATCCAAAGCCACTCTGGAGTCTCACAAGCCCCTAAATACTTCCATAGCCATTCCCTCCTATTACCTTGTTATACAAAGCTCTGAGGTGTCAGTCATGAAAATGCTGCAAGGAAAAAGCAGATCTGCAAAGTACTGTATTGAAACAATTATGAGAGTAGTAAAGAGCTAGAGTATATGTTTATAGTGTTTAATAATAATAATACAGTGTTTTGCAAGATTTTCTGGGTAGACAATACCAGCCCCTACTTCTGGGGACACTCTGGGACACTCTGGGGACAGTCAGCTGGCCCAAGGCTACACAGACTGACTCTTCTCCCAGAAGGCACCGTGGGGGATTAAATTATCAATATCCGACTGAGCTATCTAGCAAGCAATAATCATAAGCTGTCAAGTCAATTCTGATGTATGGGGACCTTTTCCAGGGTTTTTCAGAATACTCAGAAGTGGTTTTACTATTCCCTTCTTCTGGGATGCCTTGGAAATATGCAGCTTACCCAAGGCCACACAGGCTAGTGAAATACATTCTTGGGAAGTACAGTATAACTGAGAGTGAGTGAGAGAGTAAGTGAGTGTGTGTGTGTGTGTGTGTGTGTGTGTGTGTGTGTGTGTGTGGGTGTGTGTGTGTGAGAGAGAGAGAGAGAGAGAGAGAGAGAGAGAGAGAGAGAGAGAGAGCGAACCTTGGCCATTAGAAATAGAAGCAAATGCCTTATGTTTGGCAGCAAACGATGGCATTTAGCTGCACTATTGGGCATGAGACCATGTACTTCCTTTCCCAGACTGTCAAAATACAGACTTTATTTCAGACTTCATGTCAACCTCATGGTGGCAGGCAGGGAAATTGGAATATGAACCATGGGATGAGATGAGAAGGTCAAAGCCATCATGATAGCTGGAGTGTGTTGGGCATTGCCCTTTCTCTTTGGCTGCTTCAGAAAAGGGAACAGAATTTTGATGTAAATGCATAGTGCATTCTTTATGCTGGGTCATAACTTCCTGCAGTGTTACAGCGAATAACAGATGGTCCTGGCACAGACCTGAGGTTGGCATTCCCTGTAGGGATCCTCCTTGCATTCTAAACAAGCAGAGGATGCAATGAATTACAGCCCTTTCATTTGTGACTGTAATATATTTTGCATGCTAAAGAACTGCTCTGGAGTTACTCGGCGTCTGGACTGACACTTCCAGAGAGTGGAAACTAAGGAAGGAAAATGAAGAGAAAGGCTGCCTGACATGTAACCATCACATTCCGAGGCACCCATCGCTGCAGGTGAATTTCATTTCAAGTGTCTGATTCATATGCACAGTGACTCTGTCTTCACTACAAAATATCAAGGGGTGAATCCAATTGTAGTCACAACTGGAGAAGGGAAAAATTAAGAAAGAATATACTGGGTGAAATCCTGCTGCTTACCAAAGAAACATGCAACTAGAGTAGGCCTATTAAATCAATGCAATTTACAGAGGAGGGACTCACCAAACCACTAATGAAATGGGCCTATAGTCGTGTCTCGCTTAACGATTGCCTCGCTTAACAAGGAAATTGCTATACGATTTAGGTTTTTGCTATCACAAAACAATGTTTTCAATGGGGTTTTGTCGTTTAACGATGGTTGGTTTCCTGCTTTGGGAACTGATTTTCGCTTTACGACGATCAGCAAACAGCTGATCGGCAGGTTTCAAAATGGCCACCGGCTGAAGAAAATGCCCCCCCCCCACTGTTTTCTAGGATGGATTCCTCATTTTACAGGCACCGAAAATGGATGCTGTATGGAGGATCTTCGCTGGACGAGCAGGTATTCTGCCCATTGGAACGCATTGAACGTTTTTCAATGCGTTTCAATGGGTTTTTTCATTTCATTTGATGTTTTCGCTCTACAGTGATTTCGTCAAGCGAGGCACCACTGTATTCTAGTTGTGATTTATTATGCTGAGCAACAGGATTTCAGCCCCTGAGTAGTTAGTTGTACAGCCTTTTTGCTTGATGGTACTGGAAGTCACCCATCACGAAACATCCCCGTGATTCAACAGCTTGATAGAACAAGTGGAACTGTGCCCACTCTTTCAATTAGGCCATTTTACCTGAACAGAAAAATGTGACAGCATATTTTCCCTGTGCAGAAATAGTACCCTTTCAGGAATTAGAAATGTATGGAGACTTGGTAAATTAATTTTATTTAAATGTTAAGTTCTATTTTTGGCAAAACGATGGACCAACTGTTAAGCGGAAACACTTATTGAGTGGATTAAGTTCAACAACAAATATAGGAGGTTTGTGAGGAACGCCTCTTGTTCAAACAAATGTTATATTTTAGGGAAGGTCCTTGAGGGCTGATTTTATGACAATTTTCTGCCAGTGTTATCTCACACTGCGATGGATGGGAAACTGTTGCATGAACTGAAGCCTGGCCGAAGGACTGATAAGGAGCAGCCCACAGAGCCATCAGGCGGGTTCTGCTAGACACAGCATGTTTCCATATTCCACATATTACTGGAGAGAACGTTGTGAATGCTTCTGAAGAAGGAATAAAGCACAAATTAATGAACACCATTCAGATGAAAGTACTGTATAATATATAGAGCCACACAGAAATCCCAAAGGCTGAAGAAAATGAAAAGGTTACCAGAAGATTTCAATTAGAAACAGGGCAGCTAAGATGTGTGGGTGGGTAGGAAGTCATATGAGTCCATAGGCAGCCTTTAGTCTGAGCAAAATTTTGAAGTGCCCAGATCACAAGTCGCTGATGATGGAAGCCGAAAAGCATGTATAAGAGTTTGCATAGCTTTTTCTTCATAGCAAAAGTTGCCTCCATTCAATACACAACAGCATAAAAAGTCTGGCTCACTTGGAGGATATTGGACCTATCAAGCTGAACACCTTGTTTCTACAATGATCAACCAGTTTTCTGTAGGAAGCTCAGAAACATCCTCCCACTGATATGCTCCCCAGCAACGTGACAGTGAGAATATGTTGTCTCTGCCACTGTAGGAGAAAGATCACCATCATGACTATTAGCCATTGATAAACTTACCTTCCATAAGCTTTTCTAACGCTTTTAAAAACTCATTCAAATTAGTGGCCATCTCTATATACTGTGGAAGTAAATTCCGTAGTTCAACCATGCACAGTGTGGAGAGAACTTCCTTTTATCCCTTAAAAATCTCTCAGCACTCAACTTAATTGGATGACCCTGGGTTCTAGTAATATGAAAAACAGCATAAACCTTCTTATGGGCAAAGTGCTGATTATCCTTTCTCTGTACCTGAATCTGATTTACTCCCTTTGGGCTCCCTTTTTTTAAACGTCACCTTTATTTTGAATCTGCATTAAGGTTGTTTGGAAGGTTCTTTGATAATGAACTGTACAGGATTGTGGCATCATGCCAAGCCCCCATCAAACTATTTCTGACAATGTTAGAATGAACAAAGTACTAATCAGCTGAAAAGAAAGATCTTGCACTGGTGGGTGGACTGGAGGTCTCCACAGATTTTTTCTTTGCCAACTAGTATGAATCTATCGAACAGTGATTTCTTTTTTAAATTGTTCCCTAGGTCTGAGATGGCAGTAAACAATTACATGATTGGTCCCATCCCAAGAATTATTCTTTTGAAAAAACAGACTACAAAGAGAAAAGGCCAAACAGATTCATGACTTCTTTAAACTAACAATGCGGTTAGATGCAGTTTACAAACACCAGGCACCTCCAAATTTGGCTACAAAAGGCTGATTTCTGAGTTCAGATTCACTCACTCATCACATCCAGGCCTTTCAAAATTGTTCTTGTTATGTGCCATCAAATCACTTCCAACTTACGGGTACTCAATGAATGAGTGAGCTCCAAAATGTCCTGTTCTCAACCGCCGTGCTCAGCTCTTGAAAACTCAATCCTGTGGTTCCTTTAGAGAGTCAGTCCATGTCATATTTGGTCTTCCTCTTTTCCTGTTGCCTTCCAGCTTTCCTGGATTCTGGAGAATCCTGTCTTCTCATGATGTGCCTGAAGTATCCGCCTCAGTTTTGTCACTTTTTGCCTCCAGGGAAATTTCTGGCTTGATTTGTTCTACGACTCACTTGTTTTCTTGAATGGTTGTAGGTTTTTTTGGGCTGTTTGGCTGCGTTCTGGAGGATCTTCTTCCTAATGTCTTTCTAGTAGTCCAGGTTATCTGCAAAGCTCTCCTCTAG